CGGCTGCTGCTGCTGCTGCGGGGCGAAGCAGGCCTTGAGGGCGGGGGGCGCGGGCCCCAGCAGCGTGGCGTGGATGGTGCATGCAGTGGGGCCTGCTGCAGCAACGCATGCATCCAGCAGCACGGTGCTGCCAGCAGCAAAAGGGCGCAAGTACTTGACAAACAAAGCTTTTGTTGCTGCTCTTGCAAACAGCAAATGCCCCAAAAGCCCCAAAGAGTTGTCAGCTAGTGCTGCAGTAAAGCCCCCATGAACAACTCCCCTGTGGCCGCAGACGAAGGGCCCGGCCCTGCAGACCACCAGCAGGTGCTGCTTGCATGCAGACACGAACTGCAGCAGCAGCTCGACGGCGCCGGGCTGCAGCAGCAGGTCGTGCAGCAGGTGCCGGCAGCAGCTGCTGCTGCTGCTGCTGGGGGGCTGCGCCGCTGCGGCGGAAGGCTCCGCCGCCTCCGGCGCCCGCAGCAGCGGGCCCAGCCCTGCTGGGGAGCCCCCCGTCGCGCCCGCGCACGCCGCGTCGCCCGCCGCTGCTGCTGCTGCTGCTGCTGCTGCTGCTGCTGCTGCAGAGGACTCCTTCGAAACGCGCGTGCGGCCGTGCTCCGGGTCTTCCGCAGGTATGGGAATGTATAAATAAGGACCTCCAGCTCGGAAATAAGGCCAGGTCCACTCGGGGAGGCCCAGGGCGTCGGGGTGTACGGACACCCCGTCTGCAGCTCGGATCTGCGGCGGCTCCGCGGCGGCGCTCATTTTGCTCCTCTTCTTCCCCCAACTGCAACCAACTCCGCTCAGTTCAAAAAATCAAACAAATTCACGCCTATAAACGCAAAAACAAACCAGCCGCAGCGCGCGAGACAGCAGCATGCAGCAGCAGCAGCAGCAGCAGCGGCAGCCGCCGCGGAGCGCCGCTGCTGCGCTCCGGGGCTGCCGCAGCTCCTGCTGCGCCTCTGCTGCAGCTACTCCCCTTTTTTACGTTTTTCTGCCTCTTAAACAATTAATTGCTGCTTCTTAGACAGCTGTTGCTCTCCCATAACTCCTTTTTGCTGCCAAGTCCTCCGCGGCTGCCCCGCCGCCGCCCCCTGCAGCCGGTGACCTCCAAACTTGAACAAAAATAAGAAGAGAGAAGAGCCAGAGCTCTTCCACGAGCAGCTGCAGCAGCAGCGGCTGCAGCAGCAGCAGACGCAGCAACACGCGCGGAAGCAGCAGCAGCAGCAACAGCAGCACCAGCAACAGAGGCAGCAGCGGCGGCATAGCCAGCAGCGCCAGCAGCAACGGTCGTGACTGGTGGGGCTCCAGCTGCGGTCACGCGCAGCAGCAGCAGCTGCTGCTGCTGCTGCAGCCAGGAGGCCTGCGCCAGCAGCAGGCGCCGCTGCCGCTGCCCCTGCTTCTACCGCGTCAGCCACTGCTGCTGCTGCTGCTGCTGCTGCAGCAGCAAGTCTAAGCGAAAATGGATACCCCTTCAACAGACAGAGAAAGCACTGCTGTGGGGTTTACCCCCAACACCCCGATAACCCCTGAAGTGGCAGCAGCAGCAGCAGCAGCAGCAGGGGCTTCGCGGGGCTCCCCCTTCGTGCCCTCCCCCTACGCTCGCCAGCAGCAGCAGCAGCAGCAGCAGCAGCAGCAGCGGGGGCTGACCCTCGCAGACATTCGAAGACGCAATTTAGATGAGCAGCAAGCCTTAAGAGATGTGGGGCATTTGCGGCGCTACAGAGTGAGTTATTATTTATTTTATTCTTTTAATTATTTATTTGCTTTTAAATTTGACTTTATTTGCTGTTCCAAATCTGCTGCTGCTGCTGCTGCTGCTGGTTTGGAGCTGCTGCTGCGGCTGCGCTGCAGCTGGCTGCTGTCTTGCAGTGTATGTACACCCCAAACTGCCCTAAGAATTGACTTATGGATCCACTCTTGCTGCTGCTGCTGCTTCTGCTGCTGCTGCTGCTGCCAAAAGAGCCAGCCGTTTGTGTTACGAGGTGCACGCATAGCGTCTGCTGCTGCGCTGCTGCTGCTGCTTCTGCTGCTGCTGCTGCTGCTCCCGTTCCTCCTGCCGCTCCCCTGCCGCTGCCGCTGCCGCCGCCGCCGCCGCTGCTGCTGCTGCTGCTGCTGCTGCTGCAGTGCTTCGCCTTTGTGTTTGTTGAATGTGAAGTTCTTGAACTACAGCTCTGAAGACAGTCAGTTTCAAAAAGGAGAAAAAAAGCTGCAGACTTTTTACTGCAGCTGCTGCGGCGCAAACGCCTTTGTGGCGGAGGTGGGGCTGGAGGAAATGCCCCGGAGAGAGACCGACTCGTCCTTTGTTTTGCGAGTAATTCAATTAATTTTAATTTAGTTTTAATTTGATTTTAGTTTATTTTCAATTTATTTGTTTATTTTGTTTTGTTTTATTCTTTCGGTCCATTTATTTCCTTCAAACCCTTCAAAGAGCCTCGCCGCCACCGCCGCTGCAGCCCGCGGGAGGTGCACAGACACCCGAAATGCCCGTAGTGCAGCAGCAGCAGCAGCAGCAGCAGCTGGTTTTTAGCAGTTCTTTTTAGGCATGTGCAGCAGCAAGTCCACATGAATGCAGAGCTGCACTAAAACACAGCAACACGCCGTCCTGCTGCTGCTCCTGTTGCTGCTTTTGCTGGTGCTGCTGCTGTTGCTGGCGGCGTCATCCTGCTGCTGCTGCTGCTGTTCCTGCTGCTGCTGCTGCAGGCGGCTGAGATATTTCACAAGTTATACATGGTGCCCAGCAAGCGGATAATTCTGCGGCGGCCAACTGGCCTCGAAGTTCAGTACCAGTGAGGCGCGCTTGCTGCAGTTGCTGCTCCTCATTAATCTGCTGCTGCTGCTGCTGCTGCTGTTTGCTTTACCTTTGCTGTAGAGGCTAGAGCCCCCCTTCCTTGAGCTGCAGTCTTGCCTTGTTTAGCTGCTGCTGGGCCGCTTGCGCGTCTCCCCCCGCAGCAGCAGCAGCAGCAGCAGCTGCGGCGCGTGGGGTGTATGTACAGGCTGAAGTGTCGCGACTGTGGGGTGGCCATTGCCTACCGCTCTGTAGACTTTCGAGAAGCAGCAGAATTTGTTTATCTTTATTCCGACGCCCTTTGCACGCAGCAGTCAGATGCTTATGCCTGGCAGGGACAATGAGGCTGCTGCTGCTGCTGCAGCTGCTGCTGCTGTAGCGGCTGCTGTTGCAGCAGGCGTCGCTGCAGCAGTTGCCGCTGGAGCTGCCGCAGCAGGTGCTGCTGTAGCAGGTGCTGCTGGAGCCGGTGCTGCGGCAATGCAGGTGCTGCAGCAGCACCTGCTGCTAAAGCAGGTGTGCTGCATCTGGTGCTGCTGCAGCCGGTGCTGCAGTGGATGCTGCAGTGGATGCTGCAGGAAGCGCTGCAGTAAGTGCTGCTGCGGCCACTACAGCAGGTGGCGCTGCTGCCGCTGCTGCAGATCGTTATTGGAGTGCCGGTGCACTTCTGCTGAATGCTTTGCTGCTGCACTAGCAGCAACAGCTGCAGCAGCAGCAGCAGCAACAGCTGCAGCGAACGGCGAGCTCTACGCTGCGTGCAGCTGAAGGTCTTGTACAGCCATTTCTGCAGCAGCAGCAACAGCAGCAGCAGCAGCAGCAGCAGCAATGCTTCTTAGTGTGTTTATGCTTGTCGTTTAGCCTTTTGCAAAACTAGCGAAGGGATTTTTAGTGAATGCGCTCCAAGTTGAGATCCAGGCCCTATCTCCTGCGCGGGCTCAGAGGCCAAGGGTTCAGGGTTTAGGGTTTAGGGTTTAGGGTTTAGGGGTTTAGGGTTTAGCGGTTTGCTGCGGAAGCATCTGTTTTGAGCAGCAACTCCAGCAAAAATGCAAACCCTAACCCTCTTTATTTCAAAGAATAAGATACGCATGCAACTCTAGGGATTAGGGTTTAGGGTTTAGGGTTTAGGGTTTAGGCTTTAGGCTTTAGGTGGCCAAATGGCCACCAGGAGGCCTGAGGGTGCCTCGTTGTGGGCGGGAAGAAATAAATTTCAATATTTAAAAATAAATTTAAATAATTAAAAATAATTATTTAAAACAAATAATTATTTTTGAAATTATAAATATTAAAATAAACTTCAACTATAAGTTCTAGGAGCCCTTGCTGCTGCTTTGCTGCTGCTAAGGGGCCCTATGAACAATTCATGTAGCAGCAGCCAAAGAGGACTGACATTGACTTTGCTGCTGCTGCTGCGGCTCGTGCTGCTGCTGCTGCTGCTTGAGCAGCAGCAGAGACAAAGTAGCAGCAGAAGCTGCACCAAGGAGAGCTGCAGCAGCAGCTGGAGAGGCGGCTGCAGGTGCAGGGGCGCCAGCAGCAGCAACAGCATAAAAGCGGCAGCAGTTAACTCCGCAGAAGCCGCAGCGCAGCAGCAGGAACATGAGAACCAGCAACAGCAGCAGCGACAGGAGCAGCAGCAGCGACAGGAGCAGCAGCAACAGGAGCAGCAGCAGCTGTTGAAGCGCCAAACTATTGCCAAGGCCAACAGCAGAAGCAGGCAGCAAGAGCAGCTGCGTGCTGCTGCTGCCCCTGATGCCTGCTGCTGCTGCTTGCTGTTGTTAATTGCTATTACCGCTTGCTATTGCTGCTGCTGCTGTTTGCTACTGCCGCTGCCTGCTGCTGCTGCCGAAGGCAGCAGCAGCAACAACAGCAGCAGCAGCAGCAGCAGCTTGGCAAAGTTCGACGGCTTTTGAACTTCCAGCAGCTGAGGCGCGGAGAGCAGCAGCAACTTGATGAAGCGTTGGGGGAGCAGCAGCAGCAGCTCTTCGCAAGCACGCGCCGCAAGATAAGTAGACGCGCTGTAGCGTTTGCTGCTGCTGTTGCTGCTGCTGCTGCTGCAGCGCGAGGCATACGAAGAGGCGCGTGAGGACTTGCTAAAAATGTTTGGGCAGCAGCGCAGCAGCAACCTACCTACGAGGCAGCGGCAGCCGTAACAGAAGCAGCAGCAGCAGCAGCAGCAGCAGCAGCAGCAAAAGACAAAAAACTAGCGAGCTGCTTGCAAAGGGACAGGAAAAAAGCAGCAACAAGTCGACAGGCTCAAGAAGTGACATTTGCAATTTTTGAAATTCATCTATTAGTAAATGAAATTCCTCTTTTGCTGCAGCTGCTGCTGTTGCTGCTGCCGCTGTTGCTGCTGCTACTGCTGTTGCTGCTGCTGCTGCATGCAGTGCACGCGCAGCATCACGGGGCTAAAGAGTGCAGCGCAGCAGCAGCAGTTGCTGCTGCAGCAACTTGTGTAGCAGCACTAGCAGCAGCGGCTGCAAGCGCAACCACAGCTGCTGCTGCTGCTGCTGCTGATATTGTAAGATGGTTTGTTGTACCCTTCCCTGAGCTGTGCTGCAGCTTTTGGCGGCTGCTCTAGGGTTTGTGGGGAACGAATTGAGAGAAAGAAGCTCTGCAGGACTGAGCCTGCTGCTGCTGCTGCTGTTGCTGCCGCGGTGTACATACGGTGCAGACTACGGCGAATACGGAGCAGCGCATTTACGCATCCCCTGAAGGGCAGAGGCTGTCCACTTTTCTCTTTTTTTTGTTGCTTACATTGAATTTTAAATTATGTTTATTTATATACATGTATTTATATTTAGAAGCGATATTTTCGGGTGTATGCATGCGCGGCAGCAGTTTGTTCTGCGGTGTCTGTACACCTGCTGGGGTGTACGCTGAGGTCTTGGGGTGTATCCGGAGGTCAGGTGAATTTCTTTTATTTTCCTTCAAGTCCTTGTTTCTTCAAGTGTCTTTGTGGCTTCTTTGGTTGTTTGTGCTGCTGCTGCTGCTGCTGCTGGAGCTGCTGCTGCTGCTGCTGCTGTTCGAGCTGCTGCTGTTCGAGCTGCTGCTGCTGCTGCTGCTGCTGCTGCTGCTGTTGCTGCTGCTGCTGCTGCTGTTGCTGCCCTCCATGCGGACCACCACCCTTTGCGCCACTGCGCCGCGGCACAAGGGGCAGTGGACTAAGCTGCTGCTGCAACAAAGACAAAAGTAAAAGTGGCAGCAAGGCAGCAGCAGCACTTCTCTTTGTCTATCAGCGCAAAGAAGGCAAGTTAGCTGCGCCTCGGCCTCTCGCAGCTTTTGCTCCTGCTGCTGCTGCTGCTCCCGCAGCATCCGGCACTCTGCGCTCAGTTGCTGCTGCTGCTGCTGCTGCTGCCGCAGCACCGCAGCCTCCTCCTGCAGCAGCAGCAGCCGCAGCACCAGCTCGCGCCGCTGCAGCAGCATATAAAACCGAACTCCTCCCAGCAGCTGCAGCCGAGGGTGCACAGCTAGAGACACCAGCCGCCGCTGCCACCTGCTGCCGCTGCTGCTGCTGCTGCTGCGAGTGCGTTTGCTGCTGCTGCGGTCGTCGTCGCTGCTGCTGCTGCTGCTGCTGCTGC